TGTATGTATGATATGTATGTATGTATGTATGTATGTATGTATGTATGTGTATGTATGTGTATGTATGTGTATGTATGTGTATGTATGTGTATGTATGTGTATGTATGTGTATGTATGTGTATGGATGTGTATGTATGTGTATGTATGTGTATGTATGTATATGTATGTATATGTATGTATATGAATGTATATGTATGTATATGTATGTATATGTATGTATATGTATGTATATGTATGTATGTATGTATGTATGTATATGTGTATGTATGTATGTATATGTATGTATATGTATGTATATGTATGTATATATGTATATGTATGTATATGTATGTATATGTATGTATATGTATGTATATGTATGTATATGTATGTATATGTATGTATATGTATGTATATGTATGTATATGTATGTGTATGTATATGTATGTATATGTATGTATATGTATGTATATGTATGTATATGTATGTATATGTATGTATATGTATGTGTATGTATATGTATGTATGTATGTATGTATGTATAGTTGTATAGTTGTATAGTTGTATAGTTGTATAGTTGTATAGTTGTATAGTTGTATAGTTGTATAGTTGTATAGTTGTATAGTTGTATAGCTGTATAGTTGTATAGTTGTATAGTTGTATAGTTGTATAGTTGTATAGTTGTATAGTTGTATAGTTGTACAGTTGTATAGTTGTATATATTATATATTCTATATTCTACGTTCTATATTATATATTCTATATTATATATTATATATTATATATATTATATATATTATATATTATATATTAATTATATATTAATTATATATTAATTATATATATAGGTTTTCCCTGTGTGGCAAAGACTACAACCATTGTGTTGAGCGACCGTACAGCTACGTATGTTAAATGACGACCATGACCAGCTGGTTTCCAGCACCCGTCCATGGCAATATGACAACGCGGGCCCTGCAGCAAATGCTTATATAACAACCAGCCAGGGCCGGGCCAGGCAAATCAGCTATTTCTTTTGACAAGAATTGAACATATTTGACGTGTAAAACCCAACCAAATGCTTCCATCTGAGTAGAGAAACCAGGAATTTTCGCAACTTTGGGACCATGGAGCCATGTGAAAGTTTGGGAAACATCACCTGCTTACCGTACTATTTCCCACGTAGCGTGAAACATGTGAAAACTCCCAAAACACTGTTTGCCAAGCCCACCTCCGCAAAAACATGAACCAACAACATTCAAACATTGCCATCCTATGCGAAAAGTTGTGCCTCGAATATCCTATGTTCCAATCATATCATGCCATGTTGCACCATTTTCTACCACAGAAAATGGGAAAACTCAGCAGCCCAGGCCTCACAGCCATCTTCTGCCCCAAGACGCTGTGCCGCGTAGTCTGGCCATGTCGTTGGAGTTGCCAGGCACCCGGCAGTGTGGCGCCACGGCTCACCGTTTGCATGGCACGGCTCAACGAAACTGTTGAAACAAATCTGGGGCACCCAGGGGGCTGGCTGCTGGACCCAGAAATCTCATGAAATTTTGAGATTTTCAGTTGATTGAACTGTTTGAGGCTCGATGAAGTTGAGCCAATCAGAGAGTTTGGTTTTGAGATTTTCAGGGGTTTCCATTGAGCCCAGGTGAGCTGGGATTGTTGCTAGGAGTTACCAGGTCTTATTTAGACCACAAGTTTCTGATGGAGTGTACTGCTGCCCCTATTGCATGGGAACTCGCAGGTGGCGAAAGTTCGACCCACCTCGAGACCTACAGCTACGTCTGATGACACAATCAGAGAGCATCAGGAAAAAGGCAGGTGCCAACCCCATCCAAGGATTAAACGACAGGATCAGTTCAGTAACACCAGGAAATATTATGGAAGGCTCAGTTCGGCGAGACGGTGTTTCTATTTGTCTAAGACATTTCGGCATGTGGACCAGGAGGCCAAAAACATCTCCTGGGTTCGGGGGTCTGCCGATGCCATGGTTGACACGGACAGACTGCTTGTATCCTCCCATCCTGGGAGAATGAATCAATGTATATATATGTATGTATAATTATAAATTTAAAAAAAATATTAACAAAAATAATCAAAATAATAATGATAATAATGATCATGAGAATAATAATGATAATAATGTACATTGTCAATATTGTAAAAGAGATAGCTATAGCTATCAGCTATCAATACTAATATCAATAATAGTCTCCCTCTCGTCAATAGATGATCAGTAACCAGTGCCTCACATCAGATCTACATCCGCCACATCCGCCACATGTGGCCACCTGGACCAACATCGTGCCGTTCTTGGCGAAGCCGTCTTCGCCTTCGCCAAAAAAAATGGTAAAAAAAATGTAAAAATCCCAGATCCAGATGACATGATTTGAAATCCATGAGATAAAATGGGATAAAATGATTTGAAATATATATATATATTGTCAATGGATAAAATATGATAAAATGGGTGTCCTAGAAATCAGAAATTTGAAGGGATTTCTAAAGGAGGAAATCCATGGAAATCCAAAAATCATCTGGAATCATCGGGTTGAAAATGAACAATGCCTGAAACCAGCGACATGGCGGGCAAAATTGAGTGGCTTTCTGTAGGTGTTCACTTAGTCACTTGCAACGATCCACGCTTCGCAATCATCAAATTGCTCATAATTGCTCTATCACCTCTTACGCGAATCTAGAGTTCTTTATAGTCTTTTTTTTTTAATATATATATATATACATAGTTCCATTGCAAACCAGAATGTAGAAAAGTGGAGAGATGAGTAAACAAATTGAAACGTTGTTTGGAACGCACAAAACAACACCAAATGATCATAGGATACCATAGGTAATCCAAGAAATCCAGGCCGATAAGAATCATTGCCTGATCTCACCGTGGAAATGTGCATCAAAACATGGATTGATTCTTCCAAGGTGCGGAACCCTCTATATAAGTTGATCAGTATCATAGCAACTATGGTCATTGACTAGTTGCCTTCTTGTGAAATGTTGTCAATGTGGTAAACCCAATCAATGGCAACCACACGACGTTTCGAAGATTCATAACTGAGGTCCCTGCAACGAGCGCCGTCGCGAGAAAAGTGTGTGCAAATCCTGCGAAAAGGGGCACCGGTCAATCCAAAAGGATATGAAAACGATTGAAAACGGTCCCATCTAAGAATTATGTTTGGGAAAATACCCTCTGGTAAACTAACATAACTATGGAATATCACCATTCTTAATGGGAAAACTCATGAAAACTCACTATAAATGGCCATTTTCAATAGCTATGTTAGTTTACCAAAGGGTAGATCAATCCTTAATCCATGGTTCAAAAATGGAATGATCCCTTAAGTTCACATGCCGAGGTGACGTACTGAGATGTTGGGGGGTTCAATGAGATCCAAAAACACGCATCCTGTGTGGAAGCCAACCTCACATCACAGAATCGAATAAAGGCGATGCCCATGAACCCTACAGGATTCTTTTAAATGAATCACGTCAATATGTTTCGATGTATATATATATATGTATATATCAAACACTCAGATTTCCCTCTCTCTCTATATATATATATATATACATACATATATATATATGTATCTTATATATAAGTACCCTGTATAATATACATATGTATATATAATCATAATATTTCCTATACTAAATATGTCCACCTGGCTGGGTCGACCACCGTCCACGCCTTGCCCTGCGCCAGCTGTGCTTGGATGAGCTGCGCCAGGGTCTGCGCCAAACTACTACGGGAGTTGCGCCGGTTCTCATAGATGCAATCGTTTACACATTAATAAAGCTATAACCAGCTACCCAGCAACCATACATATATATATATATTGATTTATACATATATATATATATATTCATTTATATTAATACATATATATATATATATATATTCATGTATATTATATCTGTTGGCTAAGATTATGTAGTTATTTTTTGCCAGGGCCTCTCTAAGGTTTGTGTAACTATTGGTTCAATTAACTGAAGAGTTAATATATATATATATATAATTCTATCTTAAAATGGCACCAGTTACTAAGATTCAGTAGCTATACCTATAACATCTTATAACCATAGAGAGTTATTAGATTTACATAGATTTACGATGATTAGTTTCAGAATAAAAGCGAGCCCCAGTTATATTTCATAAACTTCATAGTGCGCCAAATCAACTATAGTTGGTGTTGTGATCAAGTTTTCAAAGTACTTTTCACTAATCTTCATTTGGATTGCTATCTCCAAGATTTTTTGGGAACATTGGGACCGGATCATCCGATTCAGGGATGGTATGTTTACCATTGCCAAAGAGGTGGTTCATTGTTTTAACGTTTTACCCACATTAATATAGAAATCAGATGAAATCAGCACTTTAAATTTCAACCATTGCCAAATTCGATCGCTGGGTAAACCAAAACATAGCCTCTCGAATCCCAGAGCCCCCCTTTGAAAACCGTTGGTCTTCAACACACCGTGCCGTTTGTCGCCCCCAAAAAGGGAACAGCGTTTGGCTGGAGCCCCATCGTTCAAAAGACTCGTTAATCACACTAAATCACACAGCTTTTCAGTAATCTGATGCTGGCACCTGATCCTTGCTGCCCACAAAGTTGCTCACCAAGCCTCTCTTTCCCATGCGACCTGCAGATTCAACACACCCTTACGGATGACCCCACTAACTTATTGGGGGCCCTTAACAACCTACAACTTGTGGGGGGGTTGAATCATGTTCAATCCGATTAAATGAAAGCCAGAGCTTGGATGAACCCTGTAGCCAAATCGTCACTTGATCATCACCAGGACCATCACACTTTTAGTATATCCAGTTATTTTTTATATATGTTATATGCATATAAATGTGTAATATAACTGTCCGGCTGCTTCTTCCGTCCTATTACATAGAACCGAAGCGACCCGATACTAAAATCCATTAACCTTCTTCTGTATCCGCTGTTAATAAATGGGGAGGACTCAATCCATAGATTGCAGGAGACTGCGGTTTCCAGCACTTGGCCTATGTTCAACCCCAAATCTAGGAACTGAATCTATATGTTCTATTCAATTCGTTGGTATTCCCCAAGGAAAAAATGCAGATTTTCCCGGTGAACCATAGCTCCAGAGTAGTGCTGCATCTTCCAGGTCAGATCCTTCAAAACGGAATGTTCATCTAAAGGATGATCTCCTTGACTCGACAACTACAGGGGGATGGGTTCAACTCCAGTTCTATGGTATTTAAAAAAGGGGTCAACGTCAATAAAAGACAAAAGACACTAGGTGATCTACCTAGGTCCACATGACATGAATACGATTGAATATGCTATCATTTCATTGCTATGGGATGCTTGCAGTGATGCTTTAAATAGCTTCCTTCGAGGCGCCTGTCCGTCCCACACGGTGGAGCCAATTCACTGCACCTGGGAGGCTTTGGGAATCTTTGGACCTATGCTTTTTACTGCTTGGTTCCTGTGATTCTCTGCCGAATCTGTCCGTAAAAAAAACAATGTATGTACCATATGGATCCATATGGGGAGGGGATCTAGCGGCGATGTGGCACGAAGTTCTACTATCTTCCAGTGTGTGCTGGAGGGTTTGGGCCTGGAAGAGAAATGACTAGATATGAAGACTGAGAAATCTTGCCCCAAAATCCAACTGGAATCTTGAACATGGGCCGGTGCAATCTACAGTATACTTTCATCAAAATAACCGCAAGCAATAGTGCTGGCTGAGGCTCCAAATCCTGAGAAAATGAGATTCCAAAGACAAATGCCACCACTGACAAGAGTTTTGCTGTTGGCCAATGCACATTGTCCCTCATTCATGGCGTTCAAAGTCCTTAAAGTAGATCTCCATAGATCTCCGCCATCTGTAAAGATCTGTAAAGTGCCGTAGTGATTACCAGCAATCAATTTTTCATTTTTTTCTTTACCTACCCACCCTGGAAAACACACATGAAATCCTCCAAGGCTGGGACCCTTGGGGTTGATCATGGCTAGTTGGGCTGCAAAAATAAGCCAAAAAGTGTACCCCAAACCCACTGTTGAATCACATGTTTTTCTTCAACTGGCCATTTAGGGGTATATACTGTAATAAGAATGTTCACACAGAAATTGGTATGGTGTGTCATAGATATACACACGCACATACACAATATATATATGTGTGTGTGTGTGAAAATGTATATATACATAATATACATAATATATATATATATGTAATGTATAATGTAATATGTAATATGTAATAGGTAATAGGTACTAGGTACTAGGTAATACGTAATATGTAATATGTAATGTGTAATAAGTAATATGGAATATGGAATATGCAATGCAATGCATGTATGCATGCATGCATGCATGTATGTATGTATGTATGCATGTATGTATGTATGTATATCCACGTATATCCCTTTATATCTCATGTCATCCCAATAAATGTTTTTTAATGGTTGAATCCCTGATGTTTCAACTATCAAACCCCCCCCATTTTTTCGCATCAAACCACCATTAATAAATCCCCATGAAGTCATCACGATGTTAGACATGTGTTCACGGTTAACAGAATCCCAACCACCATTTTCAGTTAATGTTAACCGTGGTAAACATGGTTAATGTTACCATCTGGTTATTTAACATAACATAGCCATGGAAAATCACAATTTTTGAGAACGGTAAACCATCTATAAATGGGCCATCTATACCATGGCTATGTTAGTCATAACCAGAGGGTAACATTAAAACCACATGTTTTCCATCGAAATCCCATAATCACCATGTTCAGATGCCCCAATCGAGCCCCCACCCATCGGCATTTGGAAGTTCACCACGTGATCCACCTCGCGACAAGGATAACCGGGCCGAAGATGGTGGATGTCTGCGATGAATTTGTCATGAACATATTGGGAAAATGATAGAAATTTATGTTTTAAAATGGAACATGATAGAAAGTTATGCTTTAAGATGGTTCAACTTGCTATTTCAGTGGGGAAGATCATGAAACACTAAAGGACAATTTAAGTCTTCAACCGGTGCTTGTTTGGTTTGCCAACATTCTCTGACAACCCCGATGGTCAAAACCTGCGCCCCAGGTAGTCCCAGGTACAACAATAGGCCTCTGCAGCTGAGGTCCTGTATAAAGGCGTCCCATCATTCAATGGATTGGTTGAAGGGAAAATCTACAGGAAACCATGGTTTTTACCATGAATTATAGGGCTTTCCTGTAAATTTTCCCATCATCCAATTCTATGATTCATCCAATTCTAGGACATGACGATGATCATAGCCCCTGTCACCCTCCAGTCTGACTCTGCCTCGTGCCAATCAATGCCACGACCGCCGAACTCTGTGGCAATCATGATGTTTGCCTGTCGGGCACCGGAAAGTCTCCGGAACACAATAATAAAAAGTGCAACAGGGCTGGCACTATGACCACTATTAATCCCATCCCCATTGCATACTCCCATAAGGGCCCGAGAATGAAGAGATCCAACATAATACTCAGTTTTGTAAGGTGGCATTTGATATACCTGAATGTTAGGTTAGGGGGCAGGGATTACCTTGAGAAACAGGCAGTACTTTCGATATGTGCATGAGTCAAAGCCTACGGTGCCAGATTTGGATGGATGAACATCCATAAGTCTCAGCTCTTTTGCTCGGCATGACTTAAGGGCCTCCCAAAAAAAAAAATACATCTTCCCTTGGATTTCCCACAACAAAAAAACATCCCCCTTGAACAAACCCATTCATTACCATTTATCACCATTCATCACCATTAACCCTGACACTAACCCTATAGCCTATAGAATCCCTATAAAATCACCAGGTTTGATGCTCGGGAACCAGGCAACCAGGGCATTCATAGCCACAAAGGGCACCTCGCCGTCCGCAAACTTCTGCGCATCGCGAAAGCGAGGCCTTGTTTCGGTCAGGCAACGACGACTCGTTGGGAAAGATGTGGGGATGGTTGGAGCGACAATCTTTATAGGGGGTATATGATCAACAATCATGGTGATATTTTTGATGATGATATGCAGTAGAATGGAGATATAATGGGATATATATATATATATAATGGGAACATATATGAATTTTTCAACTGAAACAGAATGGGAAATACAATGAGAATACTGGGAATATACCCTTCGGTGTGCCGAATAACATAGCTAGCAATTGGAAATCCGCGAACTAAATAGAGGTGCTCATGGGAAAATCGTTACAACAAATGGGTAATTTTCCACCGAGCCATGTTTGATGTCTGTATGTGTAAGAAATGATAACTATTTCGCTGACCAAAATGGGGTATAAGACCAAGAAATACCAGCTATGTGCTATGTGATAAGATCGAACAGGGACAAGTTCGGGAAACCATCGTCAAGCTTGCTAGAACGTGTTTTCACCAGTGCTGCCAGTGCTGCTGTTGTTTTTCTTAACGGTCATCACGAAGGGGATGAGGAATCAAGAAAAAAGAGGATCAAAATTAAGAAGAAGAAGAAGAAGAAGATAAACATGAAACTGAACCAAATGATGATGATGGTGGAAATGGATGGTAATGGTGGAGGTGAGTACGGCACTGATGGCAAACAACCTCAGGTGCCTCAGCCCAAGCAGCTGACTGTGCTTTTCCCTGAGCGACGCAGTCTGAAGCTGAGCCGTGCTGTTCACGGCGATCTGAGAAGATTAAAACTTCGTCACTTAACTTCTTTCACATTGGTGAAAAAGAGTCTACTTCGATCGCAAATGGCCAAGGCTTCAAGGGCCAAAAAAGATGGCACTTTTTTTGCAGGCCCGGGGCATGGGGCTGGTCCTATACACCAAAGGAATCGCTGAGATCGTGAAGTGTGAATGATCTTATGAATTACTGGTTGGTGGTTTCAACCCCTCTGAAAAATATGAAAGTCAGTTGAGATGATTATTCCCAATATATGGAAAAACAAAAAATCCAAACCACCAATCAGTTTTGCAATTCAGGTGGAATTCAACTTGCGCCATGATCTTATGGATGAGGTCATGAGGAAGCAACAGACTGACAGACTGAAAGAGATTTCCGAAGGCTTTCCACAGTTCTACCGGCTGCTATCTTTGTTTGGGGGATACATACGTATATTTCTATACATGTGTAGGTGTATATGTTATTTATATATATGTATAGTGACGTCAAACTAATTCATGGCATATGTGTAAACCAGTATCAGTAAACACGTGTGCACACACTTACTATTTCATGTCTGCGTACGTGTTTACATGCGCATGCATACAGTTGATGTGCAAACATACAAAAAATCAACATAAAACATGTCAAACCCCTGAAGGCAGAGCTTTTGCAAAGCATTCTAGTGCTGGCAAACAATCTGAGGCAACCACCAAAAAATCATGGTTCATCAAGTTTCCGTTTGAATGTCCATGCGATGTACCAATGTACCACCTGCAACGTTCGCACCCGCCCCATCCACTCGGATCCCCAGTTCACTCGAGCAGGTTGTGATCCTCCCTTTCAAGTGCCTTGCCGGGGCCAGGGTGAATTGCCTGGCCAACCGCAGTATCTTTTGGGAAAATGGGAACTAAGTGGATTTGACCCATCCACTACCATCAGTATAGTTTGTCTAATTCATATTTGCATGTAATATACTCTCTGGTAATTTAACACAGCTATTGAAAATGACCATTTATAGTGGATTTTCCCATTAAACATGGTGATTTTCCATAGTTATGTAAATGTTTACCAGAGGGTAACTATCATAATTCTAAGTGGATTTGCTGGTGATTGTGCCCCCCAACTCCCAGGCTCTGTTTATCACGCGGATTCACGCCTGGTTTGATAGTTCAGGCATCCATCATGATCTATATTTGCTGATTACCTCCAGTATGTGTGGTTTCATTATCACACATTGAGAGAGAGAGATATATATATAATTATATATAATTACATATAATTATATATAATTATATATATATATATTATATAATTATATACAGTATATATATTCAATTTAACTCTATCACATAATGTGATAATACATCTTTCCCCAATGATCTAACAAATGGATGCTGATTTGGATTTTGGCAATCCGTTTTGCGCCAAGCTGCAGGATTCACTTTGACCTGCTTGCGCCGGCGGGCGATGCAGGTTTCCTACCATGGCTACCCAAAAATGGGTGGTTTATAATGGAACATCCTACTAAAGGGGATGATTTAGGGTTCCCCCCCATTTCAGGAAGCCTCCATAGATGTATAGTATACCCAAAAAAAAAAATGGCAAACGTGTGTGCGCACGTGACTTGTTTAATGTCAATATTCATCAATATTCAACAGGTGCGTAAAAAAAATGGCTTTGATATTCTTTGCATACCACGGCGTCAATAATTCGAAGTCAACCTCACCAGCAAAATTTGGTCACTGGTAATGTCACTTTGCCCAAATGGTTTATCTCGAATTCGCCCCATGATTGATCCCTTGCACAAACCCAAACAATGTAATGTTCCATGATGTGGGTGATAACTTTTTGACAAGTGCCGGGGGTCGGATTGTCATCCTTGGATTTCAATCTGGCCTCCAGGATGGGATACTGAGTAAATCTCCGGTAATCCATCTCGGCTATGACCAAGTCGCGGTTAGCGGCCTGACAGGCAGACAACAGGTTGAGCTCCAAAGGTGGCCTATTGGGGTATACAGCAATGGGCTTTTACTTGTTCGTGATACCAAGATGTGTCTTACATATACAATATATATATAATTATATATATATAATTGTATATATATATATGTTGCATATAAATAAACAAAATACGCACATCATTATATAAATAATATATACAATCATTAATGGGAATGTGTATTGACACAACATGGGTTGCTGATAAATATGAATCATGTCAAGCCGCTCCTCCCACATTTACTCTCAATCTGGGCCAATCATGCATGCCAGAATAAATACGTGCTCTCTATTTAAGACCACCACATCAGCTAGGAACTTTAACTATCATCTCAGATTTCGGGGTCCCAAACCATGTTTGAAACAATTCTCACTCTCCGCCTAATTGTTGATTCTAAGCCCTAAGCAACTACTTAATTTACATTTTAATACCATCAAGTATCATCAATCAGTATCATAGAGAATGACCAACTTGAATTAACTACGAACAAGTAGCATCATTACATCCAGTCATTATCCTGCGGAGAAAAAAAAACTATCATGATGCCATCATCATTTTATCGTCGCCATCACCATCATCAGCATCATTACCATCACCATAGTCATTTGTTTTACTTCATCGACATTTTCATCATTGTCTTCATAATAAAATTTGTCTTCATAAAAATAATCCGTCGGCCTGCCGGCGTGTCTTGTGGATCTTGCTTGTTCGTAGGTGTACTGTCTGTCTTGTCCTTTGTCATTTTGTCTTTGTCTAGACTTTCCCCGTGGCGCGGATTTTTGCCCCATCCCCAGTCTTCTTCGTCTTTGTCGTCATCGTCCTCTTCGTGCTTTTCGTCTTCATCTTTTGCCACGATGTGCTGGGCTCAGCCCATGACTCGCTCAACACGCGCTTGGTTTTGAACATGTTGCTCTCATTTCCGTTGTTTTTCCCGCTTTTTCTGCTGTCACTGTGTTTGCCACCTGTTTTCTGCGTCGTTTCTAATGTCCGATACTTCATATAGGTGGTCTGTCACGCGCCACCTTTCTATACATGGCCTTTTCCCAAAACCCTGGTTTACGCACTCATGCTTTGGCTGGAACTCAAACCGTGGTTTACACAACAGCCATGTTTTGCGTAAAAGCCATGGTATACACAAAACGTTGTTTTACACAAAAACCGTGTTATGCACAAAAGCCATGTTTTACACAAAACTCTTTCTTACTAGGTCTGTGCAAGTGCTGTTTGCGGATGGCTCTTTCCATGGTGGCCGGCGGAACATGCCGAAGGCGGTTAAATAATCGTCATCCTCCGCATCATCATCACAACAACAACTGCAATAAACAGTAGATCTCAGTGGTTATTATTAGCAACATCAAACTCACACTAATCATCAACATGCCAAAAAAGAATGAACCCCACAGCCAAAAAAAACAATGGTAACTTACGGTAGACCATGTTGAATCCAATCAACGTTTGGTCCCAAAGTGGTGCCCATGTGCGTTAAGCCGTTAGCTGAGATAAACTATAATTTCGATAATTCGGGTTTATGGTGATGAAACAGCCAGTCACTATATATACATATTACACTAATATGTATATAAACATATATATATACACACTAACTCTAGTTCACCAACTTGAAACTAGCTGCACTAAGTAGATAACCAACGTATCGTTCGCCAGCACCAGCAGTCAGGTCGGCCTCCGTCTGCAGGTGCTGGAAGTAAAGCTCCCTGTGGTGATTCTTGGCCGACTCCCGGCCCAGACGAGCTCCTTAAGGGGCCGGGCCAGCGGCGCCAAGGCCGGAGCCGAGGCGATAGACCATGGGTTCAGAAATATAGAAACGGCAAGCTATGGGATATCAATGGGATACCTTAGGATATCATTGAGTTCTGACTACATGGGAATAAATGGGATATGATGGGATATGATGTGGCAAGGATGTCACTTGTTGCAATTAAATGCCACTTATTGATGCAAGTACCACGTGCTATTCCAAGCTATTCAACAAACAAGGCCTGTATGAGAAGCCATGACTTTCGTAAAATTGCAGTTGGGGTTTGGGATCTTTTCCCAAAGGGTTTTTGTAAAATAGCCATGCCATCATTTGATACAATTTGGATGAGGGTCTCTCGGGCGGAAATAGCTAGGATTTCCTGTTTCAACCTTCCAAAATCCGTGATTTGATTCATCATGAGTTTTCCAGATCAAAACGCCGACCGGTTCTCAAGCGAAAAAAGAACCCTTCCTGGGTTGCGGAGACCTGGGGACCATGTTGGACCAAGCTTGGAATAACCAAGAGGTTGCAATTTTTCCTTTTGAAAAAATATCAGCCTCTTGGCTTTTTACCTAGTTGCATCCCTTTTCTTGAATCTGATTAGGTTCAGTATGGTTCAGTTCTTTTGGTTTTTGGCATTCAAAGTGGTTTTGGTGGGATAGGGTGGGATTTGGGCTAAGGCGTTATTGCGGTTTTTCATTTATCTTGGATGTGTTTTTTGTGTTCAAAAACAACAAGGACTTCTTCTAAACGCGCATGAACATGACGAACCACAGCAACTTTGATGCTGGGATTGCGTTGGTTGGTCCTCTCTGAGTCAAGAATGTTTGGGTTTATTGATGTCAAAACACATCACCACTAATTATTATGGGGACAATTATTTTATTGATATCAATGTTAATGATATTCTTATTGATGTCAAAACAAGACGGACGATGATGATTCGGATTTATTCGGGGAGGCCCGCTTTCGCGGGGCTAGGTGATGGCTGGTGGAATCCCCATGATATACGTCGGACATATCTGAACGCAACATGAAAGAGGAAACACCGAACGCCACGTTCTGAATTCAACACGATAAATACACTATATCATAAACAAACCATCATTAACCATCATTATATAACCATCATAAACCATCATAAACCACCATAAACCATGAATGTCTTTGTGCATCAAGATATCTTAAATATTCAATAAAGATCCTTTGTTTAATATCACTAAAACAAGCAACACACTGCCTGCCCAGGGGCCCACGTGATTCAAGCGAACCTGCACGGAAGCTTGCAGCGTTGCTCAAGGACTCAATTCAACTCAAGGGATTTCAAAACACCCAGGAGACTGCGGCAAAAACCACAAAACATGTCAGCAATGGCGCAGCTATTACCATGTATTAGCTGGTTGGTGGTATACCAACCCCTCTGAAAAATATGAAAGTCAGTTGCTATTATTATTCCCAATATATGGAAAAATAAAAAACTCGTCCAAACCACCAACCAGATATGATTTATAATTAATCCCGCAATGGAATTGAAGACAAATCTGCAGGACGACACCATGCGGGGTTCCAGCTGATTCTCTGGTTGCGCTGGACCCAGTTTCCTGTAGGGGACCATCATGGTACGCCACCCAAATTCAAAGCATGGAAGAAATGATTTATATATACAGTATATATATATATGTGTGTGTGTGTGCGAATGAAACCTCTGAAATTCTGCAAACAAACCATTTCCGATATGTTGGCTCTTCGAGCAAGCACTCTCTTTTTGCGTGGCTATTAAACCCTGCCAGTCCAAGTCCTCGCTAAACTAGGCCTTTGCTAAAGGCTTAGGACTGAGGGTTTCTCTAGCGATTATTTTTGAGGTCGTATTTTTGTGAAACTTAGCCGAGCCAGGTTCCACCCTTAAGATATCTCATGCTTGAAAAATCGAGAGCGCACCTTCGAGATTTGCGAAAATAGTGATATCGTGAAAAAAAACGCAAAATCAGCTATGTCATGGCTTGTGCTAAAAGGGGAAGAAACATGTTTTTGCCACCGGGTCAAAAACCGTACGTGTAGTCGCGCTCATTTCAGGAAGTTGAAGTGGGGTGGGGTGGGGTGGGGTGGGGTTAATAGCAACCGTGTCTATGGCTACGTTACATGATCTTCACTTGCACTTCATGCTACGCTACATGATCTTCACTTGCACTTCATGCTACGCTACATGATCTTCACTTGCACTTCATGCTATGCTGCACTTGCACTTCATGCTACGCTATATGATCTTCACTTGCACTTCATGCTACGCTACATGATCTTCACTTGCACTTCATGCTACGCTACATGATCTTCACTTGCACTTCATGCTACGCTACATGATCTTCACTTGCACTTCATGCTACGCTACATGATCTTCACTTGCACTTCATGCTACGCTACATGATCTTCACTTGCACTTCATGCTACGCTACATGATCTTCACTTGCACTTCATGCTACGCTATATGATCTTCACTTGCGCTTCATGCTACGCTACATGATCTTCACTTGCACTTCATGCTACGCTATATGATCTTCACTTGCGCTTCATGCTACGCTACGTGATCTTCACTTGCACTTCATGCTACGCTATATGATCTTCACTTGCACTTCATGCTACGCTACATGATCTTCACTTGCACTTCATGCTACGCTATATGATCTTCACTTGCGCTTCATGCTACGCTACGTGATCTTCACTTGCCCTTCATGCTACGCTATATGATCTTCACTTGCACTTCATGCTACGATTTTCACTTGCACTTCATGCTACGCTATATGATCTTCACTTGCACTTCATGCTACGCTACGTGATGTTCACTTCGCACTTCATGCTACGCTATATGATCTTCACTTGCACTTCATGCTACGCTACATGATCTTCACTTGCACTTCATGCTACGCTATATGATCTTCACTTGCACTTCATGAGTGCCGTGCGAAACATTTCTTTGTAAACCATAGTGCTGGGGAATTCCAACGCACAGAAAGATTTCGAAACAGAGCCTTGAGTGTTCACACAGGCAACATTGACAGCTGCTGGACGCAAATGAAAACTTATATTCCAAAGTCCCTCAGCTCTCAGTCAAAACAAATACCTTTGCGTATCCGCAGTTGGCAATGGAGATTCACACATGCTGAGCATGATAACTTGTTTCAACTGTGCGGCACTCAAGTGGCCAAGTTGTAGGCAAGACAAGTCAGCGAGTAAAAAACGCACGCCGCTGTGGAAATAGACACATCGGCTCCCAGAGATGCATCCGTGGAGGTAACGGCATTTTGACAAAATTTGCTTGCCGCTGAGGTAAAACACGCAAAAAAAAGAAAACGCAACCAGAATTAGACATTTTTCATCATCGCCAGAGACAAAATCACTGGTAAATCCCAGTGTTGGTCATAAGTGCCGAGACGTGAATTGCTAACGCCTACACGTTCCATTCCCGACCCGGCGGGATGTTTTTGCAACCAAATTTTCTCATGAGTGCGCGCACATGACTGCTGCTGGTCTTACGGTGCGGACATTTTTATTTTTTTCAAGGTATGAGTTGTTTGAAGCCTGTATATAGTCATTTAGATCCTTTGCTCAAGCGGCCCGGTTAAACTTGTCCTTTGGACTGACTGGGAAATAGTACTGATAGTACTGCTGGTGCCAGGTGACTATGAATAGTGGATGGGAGCATCTAACCTTCGGGAATCTCTCAATATCCGAACGTTTTGTTGGGCAAGCATGCTGGCATCTTCAATGTTTATAAGATGCTCCCTATTCTTCTCAGCAAGAATTGAAATCGGATAATATTTGCATGAATCCCATGTGCTGTATATTAAATAGTTTCCCAGAACCCTTGGGTTCGCATTGTGATTATGGATTTGTTCAAAAAACTTAAGTTCAAAATTTGGAGGTATTTAACAACATAGTAATCCCCAAACAGCCAAGTGGTATTATCCTATTTCAGTATGATTTCCGAACTCTGCCATCCGCATTTATCATAACAAATTACCATGGGACGATTCAGGTACCTACAGTGATGGTACCTACCATACCTAAGGTCTAGGTAAGTTAAGCTACATTCTTAGGGGCTGTTCCCCCAAAGTGAAAAATTGTTATTCAAAATATGGATAAAAAGCAATTTCCTCTAACCTGAAAATCCATTTCCGTGGCTGTTGAAATTGCAATCCTGTCTGCGGGTCACCCGACTAGTCGATTCAATTGGTTCATGATTATTGTGTGCAATCCACGGGTCAAAACAATTGCCATGATTCTTGGGTGATACACATCGTTGAAAACACGAAATCAGATAATCATTGTAAATATGACCATACCCTCATTAATGTTTACCTGTTGAACTCACCATGATTTGTCCCATATTCTTGGAGACCTTGTGGAGATTTTCCCATGGAGCCAGTCCTCCCATCATCTCCATGCCTGGATCTGATCCACCTTTTGGTTGACCCTTCGCATCAACTGCACCTCAGTTTGAGCAGCGACTCCCATGTATCATTTACTGTAATATAGTTTAGAGAACAACCAGAACAAATAGAACCGCATATATAGAAAAGCAACATCCTGCTCAACTAGTAGTAAGGCACTTTTCCGTCTTGGGTGGGGTACTATAGATTCATCGACAGGTGACTGGTGTTCTAAACCAGTAGAACACCAAGGTGCAAAGCATCCAGCTCTCCAATTTTCCCTTTGGACCACGCTGATAAGGTACACCGTGTCCTGTGGAACAAGATGGAACAAGCACAGGTGGGCTCAATCTTCTTCCTCTCTTTCTCGGACTATGAGAAATGTAAGATATGTAAGGGAGAGTTCAGAACTGGGGTTTGTGAGCGGATGTTTTTGCTGCTCCCACCTTAACTAAGGAGATTAGGACATGCGAATGCTGTTTTCCAAACAACCCAGAAAACCAACGAAAATATGCGAAATCATAGGGCCAAAGGAAACTTATCATTGGATCGTTGAAGGTGTCACCATGTCTCACCTGAAGTTTGTCTGGATATTGAATATCCTCAACTCTCATGGACTATAAGAACTTTGCATTTCTCCACTAAAATGGCAATGTTGGGAGCCCGCACTCCATATTTCTTCACTTGAACATCCGAACTACGTCCCTGCCTGTCCCTTGGCAGGGCCTTTCAGCTTCCTCAGTGTTTCGGGGCCGTTGTTTGAACCGGGACTCCGTGCCTCAAGTATTGATGCATGGTGGGAGGAGAAGAAACCATGAGTTATCTAGATGCTATGCGCACTTCCAGCAAGCTGATGGCAATGAACACGTGGCAGGCCGCCTTCTCTGTGAGTTCGTGTAAACTCTGGATGTGAATCCCTGGATGAACTGGACTTGCAACTAGTGATACTAATGGGAACAACTGAATAGCCTCAGGAAACTACAAGGTCAGGAGCTCATAGATGGCCATATGGTTTCGTGCATCATGTTGACTTTGATGCAGGTTGATCAATTTTTTTAGTGATCAAATCTCCACGCAGGCCATTCAAAATGGACATGTGACATGTGGTTCGAAAGTTGCATGCTATCATCTTTGGGTTCCCTTGTGTGGCATCCAAAAAACTACTTCACTTGAGACATTTTAAGGTGTTGTCCTGGTAACCTCAACGGCGTTGGGCATGCGGTTTTGTTTTCCATCTTTCGCATGGTCGCAATCCACGAGTTAATGTTCGAACAGGCGAGCTAAGTGTGCAAGAACCTCTTCAGGATTTTTGCCACGAAGTGCATGGGTTCTCCATGCCCACTGAAAAGACCAGAGCGTAGCATCAAATACGTGCTACAAGTTATAGTTCAGAGCGTAGCATCAAGTACATGCTACAAGTTAATTGAGAAAGATCAGGGCGTAGCATCAAATACGTGCTACAAGGTGCTTGAGAAAGATCAGAGCGTAGCATCAAGTAGCATCAAGTACGTGCTACAAGTTACGTGAGGAAGATCGGAGCGTAGCATCTAACATGGGAACATGTATGCACGTGCCAAGAAATGTTGTTAGCCCCCCCTGCCCCTCCCCACCCCACGCGTCTAACATGGCAACATGTATGCGCGTGCAAAGGAACGTTTTGTTGCCCACCCCCACCCCAACCCCCCCACGCGTCTAACAGTCTAACATGGCAACATGTATGCGCGTGCCAAGGAACGTTGTTAGCCCGCCCGACCCCACCCCAACCCCACCCCAACCCCCAAACAAAAAAAACACCAAAAAGAAGGAAAAAGGAGTCGGGATGCTCAAACTTGTTTTTAAAAAAAAGCGCTCCCGCTGTGACGGCAGACACATGAAAACGCAAAAACAATGTTTCGTTACGCGGCCTTCTACGCGCGCCCAGCCAACTACAAGGTGAGGCCTCCTAGATAGCTAAATTGACTTTCAACTTGTTTGGGTTTATGGATCTTTACATAGAGGATACAACTATAGCCACTATAGGTTTAATAGGTTATCAACCAATACATACGTTTCACGTATGAATGTTGACACCCTATTACAACTATAAGCCTATACTTCACCAACAAATAACTGTGCTTAAAAACTATGGAAAATCGCCAAATAAACCATATCCTCTGGTAAACATACAAAAAGCTATTGAACATAGCCATAGTTAAATAGTGAGTTTCCCCATTATTCAAATGGTGGATCTTGCCAGTTCGTTATTTGTAAACGTTTACCAGAGGGTAAACCATATCCCTTACAAATCGATCACAGGCCGAGTCGCTGGATTCCCTGCACCAACTCTTCTCCCGTGACCTGGCGGAGTTTTTCTTTCGCTGGCGCTGGTGGCTGTGTCTTTTTGGTCGTTTCTCCATTGAAAAAACTATGAAGGTACATATCTGTTACTTAAGTAAGCTATCTTAAGTTACTTTATATGTTAAAAAAATGTTTCTCATTGATCAATTGGATTTAATTGGATGTTTAAGTTACGATCTACTTACAAACCTCCCATGAGAAACATCCAACGATAAATCTAAAAACTATGTCACAAAAAAAGAGCGATCATTAAGAGGTAGCGCTACTTCTTTTACCCTCTGGTAAACTAACATAATTATGGAAAATCACCATTTTTAGTGGGAAAACTCACTATAAATTGCCATTTTCAATAGCTATGTTAAATTACCAGAGGGTAACCATCCAATTTTGTTTGCCGGGTTCAACCCTTTGGATCCAGAGCCAGTGGCGTCAGTGGTGTTGCATCACCAGGGCACCGTTTTGGAAATCAGAAGAGGCGGGGGGGAGCATAACCGGCTCCTTCCAGGCAGCACCTGTAATCTATAGTTGCAAATCCCCTAAATCCATGAGATAGATCCTGACATAAATCATCTAATCACATAGGAACTAATTAACTAATTACGAACTCTCACTAATTTCACCATATACCCTCTGGTTATTTAACATAGCCATGGAAAATCCCTTCTAAATGGAGGTTTCTAGCTGGGAAAATCATCTACAAATGGGCCATGTTCCATGGCTATGTTAAATAACCAGAGGGTAATATTATAGTTATACTTAGTATTAGTGATTGGTAATATTAATACTGTAACAATAATTCAGATCTACTAGTCATAGACGCGGATGTGCAGCCCTGCGGCATCGTGAGGCGATCCCTTAAAGCGCAGCCCAATGGTGAAAAAAAAGACATGGATGACCAATACTTTCTATCCCCAGATCTCCAGAGATCTGGTTGCATATCTAGTTGCATATGTATAATATTCTAGAAAAATCTTACCCATATTCCAAGGCTGTTCATATTCCATGCCCAAATAGCTCCGGAAATTTGGAAAATAATGAACGACCTTTGATGATGAGAATAAGGTTGTGTGACCCTTGTCAGGCGCTCCCTTGTCACGTGCTGTCATGTCCAGTCGCACATGTTTAACCCCGCTGAGAACCTTCTCAAGCAATGATTTCTTGAATAAACATAATCATGAAGTCTTGTTTCTCTCATCAATCATCAGCTTCTCTCTAGGATCTTTTAAAACCATTGGATAAGCTGTTCAGCTTATTTTTTGACGCGTTTGGCTGGCGGCTCAGCTTCCGCATCTGTAAACGGGGCCAAGTCTGGATTACGCTGTTCTTCCTCGAGCCCAAATGGTACCATATTTCCACTTAATACAGTTGCATTGAGTAGGATGCCACCCCTGGAGTACGATGCCCCCCCCGTATGCGTTGCCGTTCCTGCATGTGGGCTTCTCAGGCATATGTTAATATCATTTTTGATCAACTCGAGGCTGCAAATTCCATTCCACATACCGACAAGGCACCACACTCTATTGCGCACGACTAAGACAACAATCGAGAATTTCCATAGCCTCCACGGGTCAAAAGTATCAAAATTTCATGGAATGCGATTGTATGCGCGACTGTTCAAAACGCTGGAAAAACAACAATTTCCCCCATATTCCATATTATCAGATTCCAGAGCATTTTACCTCCGAAGAGGAAAAAAAAATAAAAAAAGCTCTTCAGGTCAATTTTTCGAAAAAAAATGTTTTTGGCTGTCTGCGCAAGTTTTTCTGGTGTACGATCCCTTTTGTGGAGTACGATGATCTGTGAGTAGGTGTGTGGAGTGCGATGGGGTCCTCTGGGGTGCGATGACACCCCTCGAGTGCGATGCGACATGAGTATGCGCGGCCGGAAATCCCCTGAGAGAAGGATTCTGGGCCACAATTCCCCAAATTCAACAGAGTGGGCGGATGCTGGTTGTTGTAATTTAACAGGATTTCAGCCCACTCAACAAACAAGTCAAACAATATGTTGAAACCCTCTCCTTCTTCAGTCTCCAAAATGGGAAACTCACTTATCAGGACACGCTTTAGTTCATCCAGGCTCCATAGCATTTCAGGAACAACACAAGGCATCGACATGGTGCCAAACAATTTCCAAGTTGAGCTGAAAGGTCTTCCCATCGCAACCAGTCAATTCACAGGTGCGAAACATGTCACACACAGGGAAACAGGTTGGGAAAACAGTGGGTCCAAAGAGACAGGTCTGGAGTACGATGGATTCATAGTATATGTACATTTTCTGAATTTGGGTAACTTGGAGCTAGAAATATACCCTCTGGATCCCTCTGGTTATTTGAGCGATTGTGAAAACCCTAGGTTCACGGAAAGGACATCCACAAATTTGGGAAGGTCCCATCGCTTACCACACGTTTGTAAAATAATGATATATGGTAAACTTGGGGGGTATCGCTTGCAGGAAACTGCTGCATTTATTTATATATATATATATATATGTGATGAACTATGAATAATATGTGATATTTGGGTATCGCTAATGTGGATATTAGAGAAATATGATGACATAACCTTGAAAAGGGGGATCGCTAATTTGGGAAGGTCCCATCGCTTACCTCGTGTTTTTAACAATTTCCATCAATTTCCATAAACCAATGTCCGTCGAATACATATTTAGTATTGCCGGGGTTTTTACGGTTTCTCATTTAACATAGCCATGGAAAATGGCCCATTTATAGATGATTTTCCCATTAAAACGTCCATTTAGAACGGATTTTCCATGGCTATGTTAAATAACCAGAGGGTAATCATGCCAGACAAATACACTCAGCCCATCACTGTCGAAATGTCGCCCATTGGTTTCCTATCACAGGGCGACATTTGTCGCGATTTCTCGCAACTAGCCTCTGCTAATTTAACCGTTTGCTATTGAACATGGCCCATAGTCCCATAGCTAGATTAACCTTTACTAATATATAGTCTTATATTACCCATATGATTATTAACCATGATTAACACTAGTGACCATTACCAACCAGAGGGTAAAACACTACCATTTTCTGGTAAACGTATACATAACTATGGAACATCACCATGCTAAAAAAATGGGTAAATCCACTATAAATCACCATTTTCCATAGCTTTTTGTATGTTTACCCAAAGGCTATGAGACCTTGGCATCACGACCGGGTCAGCCGTTTTTTTAAGCCGCCTCGCCACTGGCATCGGCATCCAACAAGCTGAAGAGCTCTTCGGCTTCATTCCTTGTAGCGCTACATGATGTACCCTCTGGTAATTTAACGTAGCTATTGAAAATGGCCATTAATAGTGGATTTTCCATGATTTTCCCATTAAAAATGGTGATTTTCCATAGCTACGTTAGTTTACCAGAGGGCACATGGGTTTAATAAAAAAAAACATATACCCTCCGGTTTTTACGTTGACACAACGTTTAGGAATATCACCATGTTGGGTAAATCATGGTAAATCAACTATTTCTATGGCAATGTTCAATAGCAAACTTTTTTTAAACACTAGTGATATATCTGGGTAATTCTGGGTACATGAAACAATCTTTCACTAAGCTGAAGAAAATGTTTAAGGCTGGGATGATTCAATGATTCGCCGAATCCCTGGCCCAATTTTCCAATGGGATGAGTGGGCTGCCTCGGAGGAGACAAAGGCGGTCGGCTGGCTACGATATGGACATCGTATGCCGAAGAAATATATGGATCCCGTATGCTCCATGGTGCTGGAATATTTTCCAACATTTGCCCCAAAAAACACCCAAATGTAGGTAAATATACCATACATTGTGCATATGGAGATGTAATCATATTGCAACCGTATGAGCAAATATGGTGTAATTTACGGAAGATCTATGTACGCTAAAATGGGAAGATTACGGCATATGCAGTAAAACGCTGGGAATCGTTATGTCAAATGATGTACTGTACAATCTGCACCATCATATGAATGTATATGATATAGTATCATTATATGCTTGAATGTTCCCGCAGGTTTTCCCTGAAAACAAATCTGCACATTGAAGTTATATCTGCGATTAGTTGCCACCCATGAGATGCACCAACATTGTAGCTGATTGGTTTCGAAACATCTTCAACATGCACCTTGGAGGGTCCACAATTTTGAGTCAGAACAAAACGGACCCATTGGCTTTTGCCACGTGCCAGCTGGTTATCCGACACCTATTTGGGGGGCATTACTATGACCAAATATGACTAAGCGAAGTTGGGATATGTTGGGATACAGGAGGAACCAAGAGGAGCAAACTTGGAGAACACTATTGTCAACCCTCATGCCCCCAAAAAAACACAACACACCCTTCAATAGCACTGTCCAAAACACGCGTAAATCATGAAGATTGGAATTCGCGCACCCCATCTGCCAAGAACTTGCCTAAGTGCTTCCTTTGAGTTCCGTGCTGTCTACCCCTAAAATGATGCAAAGTTTTACGATTCTAGTATTCGACACATCTAAAAATCATGTCAATAGAACATGTTTGTCAAATTTTTGACTGTAAGAAGCTCCCAAACTGAATCAAAAGGCCATCATGACCCTCCAACTGTTGGTTCCCAGCCCAGGTGTCGCGTGCAGCCCCAGCAGACTGAGTTTGCCCAAGAGATTCGGCTGCCTGTTGGGGAAGATTGGGGATGAACAAGGAAGGCATCACATAGACTTAATGGTACTTCAAGTACATCCCCAGGACCTAGCGGACCTAGCATATCCACCATCCCAAACACAATGCAGCAGTATGCAGCAACTAAGCTCCACATTAAGGCTATACAATCAGGTCACCTTAATAATACATCCCAAATTTATCCAAATTTCGGAGGGCCATAATGATCCTCATGGGCAAATTAAGCGTGGTTTACTGATGTTTACCGCATGATGAACTTTAAACTTCATCCCGACAAAATCTCTCCTGATGAGCTTCTTGAACTCTTTCAACGAGAGGTTTCCGTTTCCATCCTGGCAGCAGCGCAAGAGGCGGCGAGTGGCTGGTGATGATATCTGCCCGTTCCATGAGTGTCCGAAAAAATTTACAGCTCACTCATTTAGCTAGGACCCTGCCCTTCATCAACGTTTGCCCATGTCTTGGATTGTTAAATCCCATATTTTTGGTGGTTCAGACCTCCTTTTTTGATCATGTTAATGGTTTAAGCCTCACGTTCTGTTGCCCCAATTTTTCCTGGTAAAACTCCAGCATGTCTTTTGGTAAAGCCACCCAAACATGGTCCAAGCCTACCCTTCATCAGTTCCCCCCACCTCATCTTGCTGCTCAAACTCCTTTAAGAGCTGCCGCAGAATCATCTGCTCCGCCATGGCACAGGCGCGTGAATTCAACTCCTGAAGCGCGTGTTGACATCAGCAACTTGCTGTATGTTGTGTGTTTATATCCCCCCCCTTTAAGGGGGGGGGTGGGGGGGGTTGAAAACTGAAATATTTCACTTTCGGGGGGGGTTACCCCCCCCCACACACCTAGAAATATTTCAGCTAAAAATTTCTGGTTTATAATGGTCTCTCCAGGGCCTGGTTGAATTCAAGGCTGAACGTCAAGCTCTGAAACATGTTTGGCAAGTGCACTCTCTTATTTATTTTCTTGGAAACTGGCAGTTACCATTTACATCCATTTACCTAGTTGTGTGGCTTGCGCGTCGGCCCTACCCGCGTAAGGACTAAAAAGGTGATTTTTTTAGGGGGGGACCCTGCTAGAACTGTAAAATACCATGGTTTTGCAACTACCCCCCCTCAAAAATTTCACCCTTGTATTTCGGGGTAGGAAACATAAAGGGGCTCCTCGAGCATTGGCAATTGATTTTTTTAGGGGGGGACCCTGCTAGAACTGTAAAATACCATGGTTTTGCAACTACCCCCCCTCAAAAATTTCACCGTTGCATTTTTCTATGTGTAATTATGTGTATATATAATATATATATATATCTCTCTCTCTATATATGAATGTATGAAAGTATGAATATATGAATGTATGTATGTACGTTATGAAAGGGTGTGCCATACCATCTCTGGGCTAAAAATGTTGCATCCGGAGGACCCCCCCCCACATCTTTTGGAAGCCCAAAAAACATGTGGGGGGGGGTATATTTCATGTGGTCAGGTGAAATATTTCTCAGAAATTTCTTGCCTTACCCCCCCCAAATATTCCAGGGTTAAAGGGGGGGGGATGTGTTTATAATCGTTTATACACTGGTGATGATCTGAAAATCTTGGGATCATCCCCAGCTATGGGATATCTTGGGCGTGGTCCCAAGTCGCTCCTTGCTATCCGAAGACATGGTGCTGATCCGCTCCACCATCACGGCCACCAGGATGTTGAAGGTGCCAAAGTTCAGCCTAGGGGCTAACGGCGCCGTTGCGTTTTCCCGTGGCTTGATGTATGTCATGAATTTACTCATCATACATATATATATATATATGACATGACACACACTCACACATACGTATAGCTATATGTTTATGTCAAACAATGGTAGCCTTCAAAAAGTCTGAAATTCGTAGATTCTGTGTCAATTCTATTACTATGTCATTCTTTTTTTTGGAATGTAAAAATGCGTGTGTCTATGCATGTGTGTGTGGAAACGGGATACACATACACACAGATCGATATATTCATCATATTCACAACAGCTGGAATGATCCATTAACCTAGCAAATGCCCATATGCATAAATGTGAATATAAATATATGTATACATATCTGTACGCATATCTATATGCATATACTGAGGTGTGAATTTTCAGGGAAAACAAACTGGTGTTTCTCGAGCTTTCAATAGCTTGTTTGCCAGGACCCTATTCTTCTGGCATCCTCCCAGCCCGATGATCAAGCACCAAGTTGCACGATGACGCTAAGGATCAGGGTGAAGAAACCAAATGGAGACAGTTCCCACCTTGAACCAATTTGGAGCTGATCGAAAAGTTTTTTAAGGTCGTGGCGAATCTTCGATACCTGCGCAAACAAATGATTTCAACTGCATGGTACATCCCGTCATCTGCAACAAACATCACCCATCATAAACACACCAACCTACCATTCACGCAGGTCGACCCCAGAATTTTACAAGTGCCGAGGATGATGTCAGTTTGGGTCATGTTTGGGAAAAAGACGTATACCTTTGGACGATCTGATCACAATATGTAGTTTGGCAATTTTGCAGCAATATTGATGCAGCACTTGGCACTTGGATCAAGACAACATTTATCTCACAGAAAAAGAGAAACAAAATACGCAACAATGTTGACTTTTTTACCAACTACACTGCACTCCTTAGCCCAGCAAATCCCACCAACTCCGCTTTGGGATCCCTTCATGTTTTTTCATATCTTAAATCAATGGTATATCAATGGTAATCATCATCAAATCTACAAAAACTCCCTCCATCTCAATCCAAAAATCTCGCAACCAGCCCTCGCATCGCCCCAGGATTCGGTCGCGGTCCGAGTCGCAAGGGATGTGCCACGGATTGGGTCCAGCCATCCAGAGTCGCCACCTGTAAAATGGTCAGCATGGATCGAGCCACTGAACCTTGGTTCCGAACACAACAAGGGACCAAGGGACCCCCAAAATTCCTATAGAAAATGATCGAAAAGCCATGGAAATATATGAAGGACTTATACCCTAGCCATGGAAAATTGCCATGCTTTATTAATAAGTATACTAAGTAAACCATCTATAAATGGGCCATTTTCCATGGCTATGTTAGATAACCAGAGGGTAGATATGAATTGAATTGGCTGAGTTGAATGAGATTCCCCCTTCTCCGAACCGCACACTTTCGTAGAAACAAAAGTAAAGAAACAGATGTTTTTGCTATAAAAAAGCCGCCATACCCTCTGGTAATTTAACGTAGCTATTGAAAATGACCATAGAAATAGTGGATTTTCCCTTTAACAATGGTGATTTTCCATAGCTATGTTAGTTTACCAGAGGGTACATGGGTTTAATTAACAAAAAAAGTGATATAGCCTCCGGTTTTTACGTTGACACAACGTTTAGGAAAATCACCCAACGTTGGGGATTCATCATGGTAAATCAACGAAATTTCTATGGCAATGTTCTCCCAGCTTCTCCAAGGCGCCCATGTAGATGCTGGCCTGCCACCAGAGTTCCAGGATGAAGGGCTGTGAGGTCACCACCGTGGTGAGTGCCACGCCCAAGGCCTTGGACCAGTACCAAATTAGCGACGGGACTGGGACGATTATACCATGGGAGCAGCGGGGTTTATGACATTGAGCATACTATTTATATATATATATATATAAACCTATATATATATACCTCTATATATATATACCTATAAATATATTTACACACATATTTATATATATATACATACATACAAATATATATATATAGATACATATACATACATATAGATACATATAGATACATATACATACATATACATCCATATACATACAAATACATACATATACATACATATACATACATATACATACATATACATACATATACATACATATACATATACATACATATACATACATACACATACATACACACAGACATACACACACACATACATACATACATACATCCATGCATACATACATACATACATACATTACATACATTACATACATTACATACATTACATACATTACATACATTACATACATTACATACATTACATACATTACATACATTACATACATTACATACATTACATACATTACATACATTACATAAATACATTACATACATTACATACATTACATACATTACATACATTACATACATTACATACATTACATACATTACATACATTACATACATACATACATACATACATACATACATTACATACATTACATACATTACATACATTACATACATTACATACATTACATACATTACATACATTACATACATACATACATACATACATACATACATACATACATACATACATACATACATACATTACACATACATTACTTACATACATACATACATACATACATACATTACATACATACATACATACCTACATTACATTACATTACATTACATCACATCACATTACATTACATACATTACATACATTACATACATTACATACATTACATACATTACATACATTACATACATTACATACATTACATACATTACATACATTACATACATTACATACATTACATACATTACATACATTACATACATTAATACATTACATACATTAATACATTACATACATACATACATACATACATACATACATACATACATTACATACATACATACATACATACATACATACATACATACATACATACATACATACATACATACATACATACATACATACATACATACATACAT